TGTACACTAGATTAAGCCTTAAATGGAAAAAGTAACAATGCCATTTTTGCTTAAACTTCACTTTATGTCAAAACAAGATCCTTGAGGTATGGGGCCATATCTCTGAGGCAAGATCAAGTCTACCAATTCCAGTAACCAAGGGCAAGATATGCAGCATGATATAGGACTTGTACAGGCCTGCATTGAGAGGATACATACTCTTGCTTCAAGAAGAAGAAAGTTGCAAAATACAAGCCATCTTCCATATCTGATAAAACCAACTTACACAAACATTGTAAACAAGTTTTGTACCTCCTAGCAAGCCAGAAACACGACCCCTTCATCACTCAAACCTCCTCATACTCAAATTCCCCATTTTCTTGCAAAACAGAGTCAGTTCTACAAACTTCAAGCCATAATCAAATTCCATCGTGCGTTTTGTCCAAAGATACTTCAAACACCTTCCAACCAACACACCTAAGCTATCCAGATCATCCCTTGTTAGCTGTAACACCTTTAACACACATTGCCATTTTTGTTTCAAAGCTTTGCAGGTTGAGTTCTGTAGCACGATTCAGACTACTTCAAAACAAGCCAAGCATTGGAAAAGCTTCAGTGGACCTCAGGCAAGCTCAATAGAACCTCAAACACCCTTGGAAGTTGCTGCATTGGCCAGCTCGAAGTCAACTGAAACAGGTATTTCATGAACTTCTATCTCTCTATTTAGGAATAGTTAGGCTTAGGTTTGTGAATGAAATATGTTGTACTCATAGCCCTGAAGCCATACATATGCTTAGTTTCATTTATATTAATCGTGCTAGGAGAATTTCATCCATGTACTTTCTGAAAAAACTAGGTCAGAAATTAGGGCCAGAGAAATTCTCTCTGGTCTTTGAGAGTTAGCTTAAGTTTTTTATATGGTTGAATTCGTTGTTTGATGCTCTACAAGTTTCATGTTATGAGTTTTGTCAAAAAATCAAGGAATCAGGAGATAGCCATTGATGTACAGAACGCGTGTTTTGGGGAACAAAGTAGGAAGATGAAGTCTGACTGGGCTGGGCCTGGTTGTTTTTACTTCTAACACCCCATTATTCAGTTTACACCCCCCTGGCCCATTTATTTGAATATTTGTCATTTTGATATTTTTATTTTTTATTCTGACTTTATTATTTTTTGTCCAAATATAAAAAATGCCAAAAAAATTATTTTATATTTTTTCATATTTATTTGATATTTATTTTATTCTACTAGTACAAATAGGTAAATAATTTATTTTTCTTTTATTAAAAACTTAAAGAATAATGTAAAAAATATGTTTATTTTTTTTCATTTACTATTTTATTTATATTAAAAAAACATTTTCTTGAATATACACATTTTTTTGTAAATATTTAATTTTTATTTTATATATATATATATATATATATATATATATATATATATATATATATATATATATATATATATATATATATATATATATATATATATATATATATATATATATATATATATATATATATATATATATATATATATATATATATATATATATATATATATATATATATATATATATATATATATATATATATATATATATATATATATATATATATATATATATATATATATATACTTTATTTTATTAAATAATTAGGACAAAAATACAAAAAATAATACATTTTCATTTTTATTAATATTTTACACTAAAAATATCTTTTTACAATATACTTTTATTTTTTGTATAAATTAATATGTTATTATATATATTTAATAAATAATACTATTTACTTAAAAAATTAGGGTTTTTGCTCTAAATAACAAAATAATTAAAATTGATACTTTTTATTATTATTTACATTTCACATTAAAAAATGTTTTTTACATACATAAAAACTTTTTGCATAATACATTTTATTTGACATTTATTTATTGTATTTTATTCATTTATTGTACATTTAAATATTGCCTATACATTCGATTTGGTTGTAATAATTTAGAATTTAATTTCTTGTAAAATACCCCCCAATTCAAATTTGTACCCCCCTCCCTATATCATATTGTAATAGTGTAGGCTTTAAATTCTCGCACTTTTAAATGCTTCCAATTATGCCATGATTAGACCTAGGGTTTGTATGCAAAAATAAAATCAACAAGTAGTTTGACCCAATCCAAAGATAACAATGCATGAAAATAAACACAATGCACACTTGCACCCCCAGGGTTTCAATCCACTTGTTGCCTTCAAAAATAGGCCATGGTTGCATGTCAAGTACTTTGGCAAAACAAAAACAAAACAAAAGATCATAGTCCCTCGATGGCGCTATCTGAGTTGCCTAAACAAAATGATCAAGTCCCTTAAGAAAAATTGCCAAAATACTTGACACAATTGCTATCATGGTCTACACGATGACCCGCGCCTGTCCCATTTAAACATCCTAACACAAGGTTGTTCACCAAATACAATGGTGAAACAACACTGCTAAAAGGGTTAAAAACATAAGAAAGATCTTTGAGTAAAATAGGGTAGATAACTCTTGGTTACTTGATCAAAACTTACAAAAACATCCTTGCTATCTTCAAAACACACTTCACAACACAATTTCAAAATCCTACTTTCAAACATTAAAAAATTTTCAAAAGACAAAAACACCTTTGTATACATTCAAACAAAAATCATTACAAAGGTTGCCATAACGATGACCTCTTTTCAAAACATCTTTCAAAATCACACACAAAGCACCATTTCAAACAATTGAAAAACACCATTTCAAACAATTGAAAAGCAAAGCAAGTGATCTAAGCAAGTAACTAAGAGCCCATGGATAACCATGGATAGAAAGGGTGCTAATACCTTTCCTTTCTATAATCTACTCCCCGAACCCAAGAAAACATCTCAAAGGTCTTTCCTGTGCTTTTTGACATTTCCTTAGGATAAAATAAAAAGTCGGTGGCGACTCTTGCTAAACCGAAACATTTGCGAACACAAAACACAAAATCCCAAGTCATTTCTCCCACCGTATCACACACTTATTTCAATCTTTTGACATTTATCATCTACTGGGTGAGTGTATACATCAACTACCTAATCCCATAGATCCAAGTCATGTGCCAGAAAGTAACTTTCAATTCTATCCTTTCAATAGTCAAATTTCTCCCCATCAAACATAAGATATTTTGAACTATAGTAATCTCTATCATTATCCCTATTATCAACAGTGGAAATAAGTGTAGTTATTGGTTTTTCACACACACTAGATCAATACTGAACACTGTTAAGTGTTGATAAAAATGCAAACTTTTTATCTCCTCAGAACCGGAGCTTTGATATCAACTGAAGGTGCGAAAAATACAAGAAATGAGGGATTTGAATTGAGTTTTAAATCAAAACTTTAATTTTAAAAATATTTCCCTTTAATTAAAATCCTTTTTCCTTTACTCTTGATAATAACAATAACTAAGAACAGAAAGTAAATAACAAGATATGTTTATACTAGTTCACTTGAAAACTATCAAGCTAGTTTAGTCCATCCGCCAAGATGATTTCGCCTCTATCAATGGAGGACTTAATCCAATAATCCAACTGATTATTACAATGCACAAGCTACCCGCAAGGGACTAACAACCTCTAAGACACACAAGTCCTAGACTTCTTAAAGATACATACCTAACCGCTCCCTTAAGTAAAATCAAACAATAATCCAACTAATTATTACAATGCACAAGCTACCCGCAAGTGGCTAACAACCTCTAAAACACACAAGTCCTAGACTTCTTACGGATACAGACCTAACCGGTATCTTAAGGAAATTCAAACAACTATTTGAATACCAATTTTGTTTACAATGATATTGCTTCTACACAAGCTGGACATGTAAACTATTTTAAGAACCCTTTACGTAGAACCTTGGGTCTTTGGAAACTTAAGTCTTTAGCACCTAGACTTAAGTAGAACTTCTTGTCTTCATATCTTCTGACTGATTCTTTAGAACCCGTTGTCTTTAGAAGCATGAGTCTTTAGCATCTGAACGTAAGTACAAACTTTTGTCTTCAAATCTTCTGACTTATTTCTTTAGACAAACATCAGAGCTTACACTTCAGAAGTTTCTGGAGTGTCTTACTACTTTTCATCAGAACTTATGTAGTGCAAAAGCGAAACTAATTCTCTTTTAATATCTTGGCCACGACATCCATCAGAAGCAGAACCTGTTTGTTAAATACTCAAAAATAACAAACATTAGAGTATCAAAATTGTTTATACAAAAATACTCATTTGTTATCATCAAAACTCAGAGATAATATTGCAGAATCAAATTTTATTCTAACAAAAACTATCTGTCACAAAAGCATCTCATATAAGTTGATCAATGTCATCTAACTATATGCCAAATTATTTTAAAAAATCATCCTAAAATCAATCAGGGTCAGACACCTTAAAAAAATACATTTGATTCAACACATAAACAACTTCTTTACTCATTATCAATTGAATCAAAGAGTGTTAGACTTCTTCAATTTCAATAAAAATCAGAGTCATAATTGAATTATCCATACTAGTATCTAATATAGGAAATGTAGGTGGCCTATGCATAACACCAATAACCTCACAGTATTTTTTTTATTTGTTTTAGAAAAACTTACTATTTTTTGTTTTCAAAAATTAAATCACCGTTTTGCTGGTTTATCTGCTGTCGTAATAAGGATTGAAATGACATTTTTAGACCACATATACTTGACAGCCAATATTCATTTTCCAGTTGGCAAAACGAAATATATTAATCCTTTCCAGACTTTTTTTTTCCTTTCTATTTTTCAGAAACTCTTCCAGGGTTTATAATTGTTAGCAACTTCTTTCTATTTCTCCAAAAAACTTGAAGATTATTTTATTTTTTTATATTTGATTATCGTTAAAACGCCATTTCAAATCGGGTGATTAACGTTACCCTCTCACCTTACACTACTCAAACAAGATTAAACGCTCACCATTTTCACATTTTTCTCGCTGAACCAAATACAGAATGCAGAAACCTACCAGAAACTCACGCACCTGTACCACCGGAATCCTCACGTGGCCGGAAAACTCTTCACCGGCCGATTTCACCGGCCACCGTCCTCATCAGGTTACAACAATTCTACTCAATTTTTTTCTTCATTTTTTTTGTGAAAATTATTTGGATTCTGTTTATAATCAGGTTTTTTCTTCGTTCGTTTTGTGTACACAGCCTTCACATGACATCGGTGATGTTCTCCATGGCAAAAAACTCACCGAGAATGAAGAACATAATTTAGCCAAGTGGTAATTTGTTTTTTATTTTCTAAATTGTTTCAATGTTGAAATGTGAATTCAGATCTGATTGTGGTATTTTCTTTATTATTGATCGGAATTGTGATCCGATTGCGTTTCCTGAAATGTGATTTTGGTTTTTTGTTTGTTTGTTTGTGTGCTATACGGATCTGTTTAAATTAGGTTATTTATTTGAGTTTTTCCACTTTTTTAATGTATTCACTTGTTGAATTTCAGCGAATTATGTTGTGATGAACAATTGGCTTGAAATTTTTGTAAACTGGAAATGGAGTTGCAATTTAACCTAACTAATATTAGTATTTTTGTTGTGTATCTATGGAGTATGAATATCAGACACTTAAAACTATTGTTATTTTATTACTTTGAGTTGAAATCGTGATTGAATTAAAACTATATTATTTTGAATCAAAGATTAGATTTCCCTTGATGAGTTTTATTTTCCATTTTCTTTCCTAATTTTAGCTTCTATTACGTTTTCTATTATCTGAAGATTTTGATGTTTGTCGCCCAAGTTTCCGTTTCTTCTTTTTCTTTGTAACTTTTTGTTGTTGTAAAGCATATCCTTCCATGTGTGTTATTCAGGAAACCAAGCTCTGGGTATTCTAGAGTGAAAGAGGCGACTGGAAATGGTATTTTTTTGCCAAATGCTGAGAATACCACATCTAAAGTCAATGCTGCAAATTCTAAAGACAGTGATATATTTTCTGCATATGCTGAGGATACCACATCAGAAGCCAATGCTGCAAACTCTAAAGACAGAAAAAGCATACGTGTATATCAGGTATACTAAATGTTTGGCTTGTTTCGGAAGAAAACCTGAGATTTGACAGGATAAATGTGAGTGTTTCACAAATATCAACTACATTGTGGTAACTGTATTCTTGTTTTATTCCCTGCAATTGCATCTTAGCAAGCAATGGATGGAATTAGTAAGATATTACACAACGCTGAAGAAAGCATTTCTCCTGAGAAACCAGCCTCTTTACCTCCTGGGGCAGCAAAGCAGCGTGAACTTGGTGGAACATTGCAAAATGAACCAGGCACAAATAGCAAGAAACTGATGTCAAGTTCCAAGACCAAGGATATTGGTGGAAATGATATATTTTCTACTCCTCGTGAAACTACCCGTTCATTGGCTGCATCAAAATCTAATGTAAGTGTCTTCTTGTCATTAAAATCAGCCATGTCATCTTACTATCCCTTCTTATAACATATATGTATTGTTCATAGTGATGAAATTTTGAAGTTTGATGGTCCACAATGTCACCTTATAATTTCCCGAAGGGAAAATTTTCAATACATATTAATTTTCCTATAATAATGTGAAGATATAATCCAAGGGTTGTAATAGAAATACAGTTGTAGCTCTTGACGAATGGCACTTACTTGGGCTAGGATTATTAAGCTAGTTTATATCAGTGTTTGTTCCCTCACCAAAACAAAGCGTGTTACCTTGTACTCTTTCATCCTTCTTATATTACATCTTATGTTCATCTCTACTTTTAGGCTGCTGGTATCCGAAGTAATATACGCAGTGAAGAATCAGTTCAGAAGAACTCAAAGAAAATGCATGGCCAGAAGTTTGCAGAGCTGACAGGCAATAATATTTTCAAGGGAGATGTTACTCCAGAATCAGTGGAAAAACCTCCGAGCATGGTGGCTAAACTTAGAGAAATGAAAGGCAGTGACATATTTGCTGACGGAAAGGCGGAAAACAGAGACCGCTTACTAGGTGCCCGCAAACACGCTGGTGGAGGAAGCAACATATTTTCTGATGGAAAAGCAGAAAACAGAGACAATTTACTAGGTGCCCGCAGACACGCTGGTGGAGGAAGCAGCATATTTTCTGATGGAAAAGCAGAAAACAGAGACAATTTACTAGGTGCCCGCAGACACGCAGGTGGAGGAAGCAACATATTTTCTGATGGAAAAGCAGAAAACAGAGACCGAATACTAGGTGCCCGCAGACCCCCTGGTGGAACGAGCAGCATTGTCCTGGATTAAACTTTATTTTCTAGTTCCTCCAGTTCACTGTATAGGTATTACGAATTCCTCTGAACTCCCATGTTTTGATTGGAAGGATCAATTGTTGGATAGTTGGCATTTATAGTAATGCAGTGTAACTAGTTTGTGTTATTATAATGGGTGCAAATGGTTATTTATGTTTGATATATTCACAACCATAACAATTTGCTAAGATTTTATAGTGATGCGGTGTAAGTAGTTGGCGTTACCATAATGGGTGCAAATGGTTATTCATTTTGATATACACAACCATAGTTATTTATTTTTTACTCACCATTAAAAAATTGTTATCTTATGATAAAACATGGGATACATATTAAGATTTATACAAGGACAAAAGTAATTAACTTAAGAAAACTAGATTTCTAGTTAGTGTGGAACTATGGTAAACTCTAGTAAAGTTCTTAAATGGGATATATTCAAGTTAGACCACTCGAGATGGAACTATGGTCAAGACTTGTATAAATCTGAGTAGAGTCTTTTAATTCTGTTGATAAAAACCTAATCTTCCTTTATTCTGAATTTACCACACTGCATTTCTGAGATTATGCTTTAATAAAAATAATTTCCACAGTTGCTGGGTTATGTTTTTCAAATAGTTGCCTCGTATTCTAAGAACTATGGGATGGCTCATGGCTGCAAGAAATATAAATAATCGAGAGAATTAGACAAGGATGTTATCTTTATTGAAGGAGGCAAAGTTCTATTTTGAATTTCAGTACATATTCAAAACATATTATTTAAAGCCACCAGGATATCTCATACATCTCACAATCAGGTTACCAGCAAGTCTAGTAGTACACTGCCATCTCATGACTACTAGACAGAATAAGAACTCTAGTCCTCACGTCCCAACAACGCCAGGAGAATTTTCTGATAGTCTCCAGAAGTGTCATTGTCAATTGCACGATCCAGAGGAACACTGTTTCTTCTTTGGTATTCCTCTGCAATTCGCTGCAGATCAACCTCAGCTCTAGTTGTCACCACTCTAGTTAGGGCTAATTCATCAGTTCCCATCTTGTTTATAGCCAGCCTTAAGAGTTCCTCAAAATATTTCTCAGGGTAGGTCAAGCACTTAATTACTGACTTCAATAACTTCAGATATTCATCTTCAGAACCAGTTTCCAGATCCTGCATCCAGAAGCTTATTGTCAGTTCTACTACAAGCCACTAATTAATCTTATAATGACTTAACCATAACAAGCTCGACCCTGTCCTTAAAAAAAATTAAGTAACAAACCAAAATATAATTCCTTGAAAGGTAATTAATTGTTTCATCTATAATATGATTGTTGCTCGAAATCATGTTTTTTAGAGTGAAGTGAACAATGACATTATAGACTGCACAAGTTTGTGACATTATATTAGATCTGCCTTATGTACTGCTGCATATACTCATAAAAAATCAGGTGTTATGTTGAAAACAGAGTAATAACTAATAAATTTCCAAAACATTCATACCTTGTCTATTACATTGCCAAACGCATTGTTATAGTGGTTCAAAGTTGCATTTAACTGCGCTTTGCTTCTTGTTGTTACAATCCTGATCAGGTCCTCATGATTGTAGGACTTATCTGCAATCTTCTCATGAAGCAATTTAGCTTCAGATTTTGCCAATGTCATGTTCACCTCATCCCCGTCATAACGGAATGTGCCCACAAGAGGAACCAAAAGCTTTTGTGGAAGTATCAGATAATAGCGGGAAAATGTTAGATCCAGATATAACAGAAAATAATGAAAAGATTTACACCTGATAATTTTAAATTTTGGAACATTTTGATTGACAGAGAACTAAAAGAGATTCTTCATAATCTAAATATTGTGCATGAACATACAACTATTCTCTCAAGATTCATGAAATTAACTAGTTTAAAGTTTAACCTTGCGGATGTCACCAGAAGTATGATAGGCAACATCTTCTTCAAGAGACTTCTTGAAACGGGCTTGGTATGCTTGCTTTGCCTTAAGGAGTTCGAGTGGAGATCTCGTGGAAGCAATTTCCATGATGACAGCGTTGTTTGCAGTCAACATTTTAGTTGCTAGGTTAGCTAAAAAGGCATCACGCTCAGCAGGATCCAAGGTCCACAGTAACACAGCTTTCTGCCATATCCAAAACATCAAACATTAGACATAATTCATGAATATAACTTCATATGTTTCCCTAAGTCAGGGTTATTATCTTTACAAAATACTGAAACTAAGTACTATTAAAAGGAAATGTGTCAAACTGAGATTCACATAAAGAATAAGTGACCTCAAAATCACTTGAAAGTTCTTTGTCTAAATCTTTAAGAAGATCTTCTCCATGTGTTTGAGCATAAGTTTGACGAATCGCCTTACGCTGGGCTGCATTTCTATGAGTCAGGATAGATATTATCAAGCCTTCATTCGTTCCCCATCCTGCAAAAATGCAAAAATGTCACGGAAACAAAAACATGACGGACACAAATAAAAAAGTCTTCTTGCCATAACAAAAGTATATAACCTCATTGTGACATTTGAAGGTAATCAAATCGACAAAGAAAAATGTCTTTCTATTTTAATAGTTAGTTTCTATCTTCTTACTCTTCTTCCCTTAGTGATCCTATTTTGGACTGCATTAAACTGAGATCTAACATACACAAAAGTGCTACAACAAATTAATTGATGATCTAATCTAATTAACAGTAGTGAGCTATAAGCATAACATATGATGAAATCTGCATAATTAGATCACGATCGCGCCAAAAATGAAAAATCGAAACAAGATAGATCGGAAAAAATTGAACAGATTGATGATGAAATCAAAGAAAATGAATAGGTGATTGTTGACCTTGAAAAGCACTGCGCAATTGTTCACTGTCTTCTGATGGATGAGGAACGTGAGATGGGATCTTCAATGTCGCCATTGTCAATGTGTTGTTTTCAGGATGGATCTGTGTGTAGAATGTGGCGTTGAAAACTGAAAAGGAAATGCGAGCTCAATCATTTATACTACATACAAGGACATGCCGATGATTAGGGGTCTTCGTTAATCATTATTCACTTTGTAAGGAAAAGAAAACCATTTACTCGCTACTATTCTTTTTACTTTTTTTTCTTCTTCTTTTTACAATAACAAACCATCAATAAATTTTGTTATTTTTATATTTTTTAAATAATGCCTTTTTTACTAATTTTTATTTCATTTTATCTATTGCTCATTATGAAATAAATGACTAATTTTTTTTGAGAAACTAAAAGTTCAATGTTGTATAAAACATTAAAAATGAGGCTTGTGAAATGCATTAGTGGGAGATACTAAAATATACACAAATCCTTAAGCACGGTTAAAGGAGCGAGCAAAATGCTTTAGATAAAGATATGAAATATACACAGTCTCTCAAACATGAGGTTCAAGGGAAGAAAATGCTTTAGGAGGAGAGATTAGAATGTACACATTCTCTTGAGCGTGAGGTCCAAATGGGCGAAATTCTTTAGGAGAGATCGAAATGTACACAGTTCTTCAAATATAACATAGGTTACAAGATCGTTTCAAGCGCGACCCAGGTCATAGTTCTGTCACCCATGTCTAGGGCTAAAGGGGTGAGATGTCCTTTTTGCGGGGGTGTTTCCAGTGATTTCTGATAAACAACCGCTAGTCTTCCAAACTATCGAATAAACTTACTGACTGTTATTCAATTTCTTTGGTAACTCACAGGATCGACTAGATTGATCCTAGGATTCCTTGGTCATTAGGGTTACTCTCATGATCGAACAGATATTCATGATTGTTATTTGAGTGTTGCATAGGTGTTTGGCTTATTTCGATTTCTCTCTTAAAGGTCTAAAGGTGTAATCAAAATATGCGTGTACGAAACTAAGTTGCATGAATAAATGTTAATTGTAAAGACATGTAAACTTGCATAAAAGGGAAGTAAATGACTTCGAATTATAAAAACAGTTAATGTAAAGGATGTTCTGGAACGTAAAAGTTTTGAAATATGAAGAAAGCGTTTAATGCAAGAAATCTGTAAATGACTTTAAGTAAAAATAGACTTTCGAAAGACAAAACTTGCAGATAAAGGCGTGAAAAGTATGACAGTTTTCTGAAATGTAAAGTGCTTGAAATGTAAAGAAAGCATTGAAATGTAAAGCTTTAATGAAGAGATTTCGAAATAGAAAGACTTTGAATGAGAAAACTTGTAAATGTTATTTGGCAGAAAGATAAAGGAAAGTGCTGGAAATGATAAAAGGTTTTCATTAAATCATAAATATGTGGTGCTATCATACGTACATTGCTCTTGCATTCGTTTCCCTTGCCATGTGGTAGTTTGAATGTTACTGAGTATTTAGTACAATAGATATGACACCCAAAATCCTAATACTAAGACTTCTATTTATACTAATTCGACCATAACGGTCTTGCTATAGGATTATGCCACGTTCAGAATATGCAGAACAACGCCTCTCTCTTCTTTCCACGTGTCTCCAAATGCTCCAGCACATAAATTTCAAACTTCGAATGTCCCGCTTCTATTTGAATTTCAAATGCTTTGGTACTTCTCCATTTCGAACACACTTCTCAGACACAGCCTTGTTGTTATTTCGAGACTTCTTTAGATATGTTCCCATAATTGCCACTCGAAGCTTCAAGCTTTGATATGCTTATTCAAAACACTGCTTCTGCTACTTCGAAACATGACGCTTTGTTTCATTTCGATCGAAATGTTCCACTCGCATGGCTTCTAATAATATTATCAAAATCTTCAGCCAACAAATTGCCCCTTTAAAATATGTATTTCGATCTCTCTGAGAAATACCTATTTTAAACATCTACACAAGATTTTGATGTGACCTTCGAATCATCGTAACATTTAATGCATTTGACTCCAGTCACGTCAATCATAGCACTTTTTGGATTCCTTAACCGCCTGGAGCCACTTCACAATATGGTGCAGTTACAAACAATGATTATCTTTAAATCACGCCTATTACCTATGTTAACTTTACGCCACCTC